ATGTGGTGCACGCATTAGCGTGCGTAGCCCAACTGGTAATGAAAAATGTAGAAAGGTTAATAAGTGATTTTGAAGAAGGCATGCTTGACTCTGAAGTGTTAGCGGTCTTCATTCATAATCGCTGTTGAAAAGAGCGATGACTGTTTTGCGCTATAAGTGCATGGTTCAGTAACGTTGAGGATGGGTACCACCATGTGGAGAAAGCGACAGTAATCTACATTCTCTTCCAGGTTGACAGCCGGCAACTTCAATAACGCTATGTGCAAAGCGAGTAAATGCACGATCGTTGAAGTGGAGGAGATAGTTGAAACAGGCGCTATCGAACCAAATGACGTATGCTTTTTCAAATTTTATTAGCTATAAGTAATGTCAGCGTAGTGTCTCACTCTTGACTGTATGTTCCTCTTCTCAGTATAGGTACACATCCCATCTATCTATTGTGATCGCATCGTCCTCGGCAAAAGCTATAAAAAACCGATTGAACGTTTGAGACTGGCATCGGTGAGCTGGTTGGAAATTTTCCATCTTTTAGCTTTCTCCTGTATGTATTAAAGATGATTTCTTTTCTTACGAAAACCCATTACTTTCCCCGCTAATCCTACAATCAGATGTCATGGTGTCTACAACCGAGAATTTATTTCAGGACGGGGAAGCGGATCTTTCCCTATCTCCTGCCAGCAGAACACGAGAAATAATAGCTGCGCGTGTTGCTCTCGAGTTCCGTGATGGAATGTATGGTTTGTGGACAAATTCATTTTCTAAAAACTTTCGATTTCTACTTTTTTATCGATCTATAATACTTGCACACTGATGTTGTAACAGTGGACGAGTAGGACCGGTCAATCGAAACGAAGACGGGGAAGGAAAAAATCGATACGATAACAGTATAAGCGGAAGCCAAACTGTTCCTATAACTTGCCCACTTTTTGAGGCAAGATAAAGTGAAACGCGCGAGGGTTCCATAAAATATAAGATATTCAGATTATTCTTCGAGAGATTACGTCATTGTGTTCGTAAAAGACGATAACTTCAAGAACACTTCTGGAGGAGTTTTCTAAATAGAGCAATTGTCCTGGTTCTCTTAGTGAAATCTTAATCACTCCTCTGTATGTAACATTCCAGTGAATCTTGGAATAGGAATTCCAACCCTGGCCGCTAATTATATACCCGATGGCGTAAATGTTCACCTCCACGGCGAAAATGGAGTCATTGGAATGGTAGGCGCTGTTTTCTGAAATGTTCATCGATATCCTACCCCTACAGCCTAAACAAGGTTGTCGATGTACCTACTTTTTCACCAAAATTCGTTTGAAAATTCTAAGCGTCCATCTACTCCCAATATCGTTACTTTCACGAATTATAGGGTCCATATCCTCAAAAAGGCGAGGAAGATCCAGATCTCATTAATGCATCAAAAGAGACGATCACGCTATTAAAAGGTGCATCTATCTTTGGAAGCGAAGAGTCATTTGCTATGGTTCGAGGGTAACGATTTTTCCGTAAGTTCCAGAATTCAGGACCTTCTCAACAACTTCTTCAGATCTCACATGGATATTACAATTCTCGGTGCACTTCAAGTTTCTCAATTCGGAGATATCGCCAACTGGATGATACCTGTGAGACAGATAGAAGGAATACCGACTTGTATTAAGCTAATCCTTAGATTTTTTTCGCATTGTGGCTAAATTAGAAAAAAAGCCAACGCCACGCTTATTGAATGGTTCATTATATTTAGAGGTACTTCAGTTTAAGACTAGTCCTTTGATAGTTACCAACAGTAGGCGTGGCGTCCTGTGAGCATAGTTGCAGGTCTCACTTGACCGGGAGCTGCAGTGCAATAACTCGGGCTTGCCCACTACTGGGAGACTTGGTTTCACCCTTAAATTTTCAAATTTGGCGAAAAAGAGCAGTCAACGAGGCAATGAGCGCTGAAGCACTTCATTTCTTTCTCTTCACCCTTGGAACCTTCGTTTCAGTATCCGGTGCCCTGCATCAATTACTTCAGCATATCCTTCGTTATCCATTGCTTTTTCATTTGTCATCGCTTTCAAGTAATTTTCTAATTCCACTTGATTTAGCCGAGGTAGCTTGCGGGATACGATTGCTGTCTCTAGCATTTTTCTCAGTCGATGGCAGTATCCTCTTTCCTGTTATCGTTTTCTGTTTACGCCATTTCAAAGGAAATTTACTGTCACTAGCATTTCATCATTCACAAAGTCGTGCCAGGAACATCGAGGAAATTTGCACTTCAAAAGCCCTTGAACGCTTTTGTTTTTGTGAATCAGCAACATGCGCTCCATTCATTCATTTACCTTAAAAACATTTGCTAACAAAGGCTAAACCAATCAGGTCACTCGAAACGCAAAGTGAGACCTCCTTCGGATCTGAGAGCCCGAGATCGAGAGTCCGAGAGCCCGACTTTCGTTTCTCGTGAGCTTTGCGAGGTCGAGGAGCTGCTTATGTTGCGTCAATTTTTCAAAATATGCCGCATTGATGGTGAAGAGCTGCGTTGGGCCACGAATACAACATTCTGCTATGCTTGCTTTTCAAGAAGCTTTTGCTTCAAAGACGCCTGCTGTGTGCTTAACTTGTTGTGTTGTTCTTTTTATTCCTAATCAAAACTACTGTATACCGCTGCTGACATTCAGACGTTGAATTCCATTTCCAGATCATATTTCGTCGCTAGAAAGGCATATCAATATCCAATGCTGTAAAATGAGATTTTCTCGTTATGGGGATATGTAAAACATATAAATTTTAACGAATACCAATTCAACTGAGCAGAATTGCACGTTTAGGGCAAGTTGTTGAAGGGGATGGGTGGAGCCATGGACTTGGTCTCTGCTCCTGGAGCCCGGGTTATTGTATCTATGGAACATTGTTCTAAGAATGGTGAATCAAAAATTGTGCCTCAATGTGATTTGCCCCTGACTGGAAAACAGGTTGTATCACGGATTATCACGGATAAGGTGGGTTCGATTTCTGTTTCATGATATTTGAATTCTCTTTAATCAAAATACAATGCAGGCAGTCTTTGACGTTCACAAACAGGAAGGATTGACTCTGGTCGAAATCAGATCCGATCTTTTGGTCGAGGACATCGAGAAAGCTACAGCGGCGCCTTTCAAGGTCAATGCAGGCAGTCTTTGACGTTCACAAACAGGAAGGATTGACTCTGGTCGAAATCAGATCCGATCTTTTGGTCGAGGACATCGAGAAAGCTACAGCAGCGCCTTTCAAGGTGAAGAAAACTAGTAGAACTTAAAGTACAAGTAAAGTTACTGAGTCGTGTCTAACCGGCAAACTACGAGTTATTAGTCCAACGCAGACGTTCGCTTAGCTATGGTGTTCGGTGATGTGCTCTGATCAAGTTATAAAAGAATGAGCGCGTGAACAAGCTGACTTGAGGAGTACATTTACAGTTCAATTTTCTTCATTTCATCGACTTCATTTTCGGCAAAATCTAACGTTGGAAATACAAGTACCTGAAGTGCAGAAGTGCGCCTTTAGAAACAGCAGTATCGTAAACGTTTGAAGAGTCAACCATTACTTCCCGTGCAACTGAAAAATATGAACGAAATCGGAGATCCCTTTTAGCAGTGCTATCCACTGATCTTGTTTCCAAGATAAAGAAAATCGTCGAACTAAGTGCAGAACAGCAGAACCGCCGCTTGAACAAGAGTTAGTAACAGCAACGTATTCGCTTTTTTGTACGATTCCCATTTGGGAATGAAAACTTTTCTAATGTTGTGAGACTGGAATTCGGTTTTTCTGTTGTTTCGATTTGCTTGCGGAAGGAACGTTCTTTAGAATTTACTCTGCAGATATCTGGAAATTTGATGCCAATGGGACAGGCGAAACGGAATTAGAAGCAGTATGCAGTCAATCCGAATTCAGGCACACTGAAAGAAAATCTACTTCGCTGTTTTGTTTACATCCCTCTATCGACATAAGCCAAGCCTTAAATCATATGATATCAGTGGTGACATTTACGAAACAGAGTCACGATAGTTTTCTGTTTTTATCACTCGTTTCATCCTTTTCTCGTTAAATGATAGTTGCCCGTGCACTAGCACATTCACCTTTTCTACCTCAATATTCGATACTATAAAAAATTTTTGGACTTCATTTTGGTTAACAAGTCTGCATATGGGCGTGTATAGCGCAATAAAGGTTTCTTCAGGCAATGAAAATGCAAAACTGCTTCGTCCACTACTCCTCAAGTAGGCAACGTGACACCTTCTGTTTATCACGTTTTCCTGCATTCAGAGTTAACCATTTGTCTACTTTTCAACTGTATTGAAGCGCTTTAATGAGAATTCTAGCATGGAGAAGGTTTGCGACGGAGTAATCCGTGAGATGAGTGGTAGCAAGATGCTCCTATCCCTTGACCCTGCCTTGTGTAAAATAGCACGAGCTTCCTGAAGGTTCATAAAGACTAGAAATTTAAAATTTCATTAGCGCAGAGCCCAACGGAAAAAGATGATTCTGCGAGCTGGTAACTGCTGAAAACCATATCCGTGATGATCCTCATTTCCTACCGTTTCAACTGCCAACAAACTTTTTAGCATACCCATTTTCTTGTTTTTTGAAGCTCGAGCCACTGTAATCTATCTTAAAAATGGGTCTCGAATGAGCTGCGATTACAGGACTTCAGGGGCAATCATGAACTTCGTTTCGTTTATTTAGCTATTCATCTCATTAATATTATGAAATGAAATTCAGTCATCTTCTTGGACCACATCCAGAAGTCATGATTACTAGTGAAATTCTGTTCTACAAACGTTATCTTGATGACGTATTCATTATTGGAACGACGGATGAGGACCTTGTGGAAATATTGAAGGGACTCAACTCTCGCAATGCTAACATAACCTTCACCAGGGAAAATCCGGGGAAGGATGGATTGATTCCATTCCTCAATGCGAAGATACAAATTAGTGAAGGTCATAAAGAACACCTGCGGCATAGAAAAAGTGCGTCGTCGATTATCTTGTTGCATTCTAGGAACGCACATCCTGTTTATATGAAGGCAAACGTCGTACGGAATCTTCTGAAAACGAAGGCGAAGCTTGGGACACGAAGGGATTCAGTTGTTGATGCTAAAATTGATAGTATCCTTGAAAGCAATGCACACTCTGAAGGCAACCCGAGGACCTGAGTCCCATACAGAATGGCTGCCGGTGTCAGCCTCATTCTGCCTTTTGCTAATGACAAAATGGCACGTGAGGTGAACCACGTCGTGAAGAAGTCCCAGCTTCCTGTTTGACTTGTTTTCCGACCTCCTCCCACACTGAAGAATCTTCTGACATGGTCTCGAATCTACGAAAAACGGTGTCGCGTACAATCTTGTCGATAGCACATCTGAAAAGATTTATGAACTTCAAGGCACTGTCTATTTGATTCAATATGGAGGATGTGGAGAAAAATACGTGGGGGAGACCGCGAGACCACTTAAGATCCGACAGGATGAACATAGGAGAGCGTTAGCCAACCCCGTTGCCTATCCGCACAATAGTTTTCCGGGCACCGTAAGGCATGAGAAAGAAATGCTCCATCCATCGATGAGAGAGTTTTGCATAGATGTTTTGTACGGCCACTGGAAAGGAAATTCATGGAGGCACGGGAAATGCGCCGCATCAAGCCGGAAATCAATGCGAAAAGGAGATGCGCGACCTACTGAGAATGATTGAGTGATAACACTTAGTCGCCTAAGGAGAAGAGCGGCGTCCATTTTTTTCTTGAATCGATTGCGTCCCGCGTGCTGCACATAGAGTAGCGCGCTCCTTCTCCTCTGCGTGCCCACGTTTCGGTCCAGAAT